CCCTGGTCACAGCGGGTTGCCGGACACTTCCTGGCTTCGGTGTGAGGGGGGAGGCGAGAGGGGGCAGAAATATCGGAGGTGGATAGACCTCCTACCCTGACACGTCGATTGAGGAATGGGCCGTTGTCGGTTCGCGAGAGGGCGTCGCGGGCGTCGTTTTTGCGGGTCCAGGTCCGTCGGTTTCGGTCCCAGGCCGTTGTCACTAAGGGGAGGTTTACTAAAGGGAGGTTTGTCCACCGCCGAGTGAGGGGGGAGGCGAGAGGGAGCAGAAATAGGAGGGTGAAACGCAAACAGGTTGAGCCAATGGCCGCAGTGCAGAGGCAGGTGCTTGTGATCGTTCTCCAAGCTAGCATTACGTCGGGCCTGTCCCTCGACAGGAGGAATATTCAAAAATTAACACAACAGTAGTACGGGGACGTTTTTTTTCACCCAAAATCTCCCTGTAGGGGGACAAGCCCGAGCTAAAGCTAGCAGGCTCCCTCCTGTGCGACTTGCTCACGCTCACGTGCGACTGGTCCACACCATTCGTCTACAACGGCCCCCGTGACCCAGTGATTGTTGAGCTGATAGTCAAACCGCCTTTTCTTTCGCAGCAGATGTATCGAATTGAGTTGGCCCGTGCAACGGCCAAGTAGGTGCCAGCGAACTGGGCAAGTACGGCCCCGAATGCAATGCTGATTCCGATTCTTAATGGGTTAGTAACACATGGGGCCCGCGATGACACCAAACGGCGCCGGGTCTGTGTAGTTCGGGGGCTGAGTGACAGCAGAGCGTGACGGTATCAAATCGAGGACGCCGGTGGCGCATCACACGCCGCTCCCTGGGAGTTCGGCGAATCGGCGCGCAGCCTCGAGAGTCATGACGCTGCGGGATCATGCCAGCTATCCTTGCAGTGGGTTGCCCGAAGGCGTCTTCGGAGAATCGACATCGTGGTTCTCGGGCAAGGCCACCGCCGTGCCTGGGCCGTGGACAAGAGGCCCCTCTGGGAGGCCTCTCGGGGGGCCTCTCGGGGCCTCCCGGGGGCCTTGGGGCTTATTCGGGATTCTTGTGGGCCTCAGGGTGCCTCTCGGGGGCAAATTGGGGGTCTTGGGGCCAAATTCTTGACGCTTCGCGTATCCCCACCAGCCCATCCAGAAACGACGCCCAGGCGAGTAGAGGTGATCATGGAAGCGGGGCAGCATACAGAGGAACAAGGGGCTGGGGAGGCCGTCGTACCCCAAGGGGGGGGGGGATGGAGGAGGAGTCGGAGGCGGAAGAGGAGGAGGATGATGAGGGTGGGGAGGGAGGAATGAGGAGGAGGAGGAGGAGGAATAGGCGGATGATGATGTTGATGTTGATATTGATGATGCTGATGATGACGATGATGGTGGTGGTCTTGACGATGGTGATGGTGATGGTGATGGTGATGGATGATGATGATGATGATGATGATGATGATGATGATGATGATGATGATGATGATGATGATGATGATGATGGTGATGATGAGGGGGAGGAGGAGGAGGATAAGGGCGATCAGAAGAGTCAAAGGCCTCTTGAATGCCTCGCGGAGTCTCTTGGGATGTCTCTTGGGATACTCTTTGAGGTCTCTTGGGGCGTCTTGGGGGCCTCTTGGCGGTCCCGGGAGCTTCTTGGACCGTCTTGGGTGCCTCGGGGGAGCCTCTTGGGGTCTCTTGGGGGCCTCTTGGGGGTATTTTGGGGGACTCTTGGCGTCCTCTTGGGGCCTCCTGGGCGCCTCTTGAGGCCCTCTTGGGGCGCTCTTGGGAGCCTTGGGAGCGCTCTTGGGGCCATCTTGGAGGTGATCGATCAAAGGAAGGGGGTCCCTCAATTAGCACCCCCCCTCGGGAGCCTCTAAAATCGGCCAAAACCATAGTAAAACCTATGATTGTGGCTTCCTCGCCGAGGCCGTTTTGGACGCTCCAACTACCAGCGAAACCCCCCGTCCAGGTTCAGGGGAGGGGGTTAGGGGGAGGGGTACTCTGTGTCCCTCAATAGTTCTGGGGGTACCTGTAGTCCGGGGGGGGTACCTATAGTCCAGGGGGGGGGTACCTGTAGTACCTGTAGTCCGGGGGGGGGTGCTTGTAGTCCGGGGGGGGGTACCTGTAGTCCGGGGGGGGTACCTGTAGTCCGGGGGGGGGCGCGCATGGGTAGTCCGGCGGGGGGGCTTGTAGTTCCGGGGGCTAGGGGGGTACCTGTAGTCCCGGGGGGGGTACCTGTAGTCCGGGGGGGGGGTACTTGTAGTCCGGGGGGGGGGACCTGTAGTCCGGGGGGGGGTACTTGTAGTCCGGGGGGTACCTGTAGTCCGGAGCCCCAAAACTATAGAGGGACACAGAGTAAACCCCTCCCCGAAGGGGAAGAAGGAGGGGTGGAAGAGGAAATTCCCTAAACCACCTACGCCCAGAGGGCTGGTGGGATTTCAGGGGAAGGCTCGACATGCCCTTTCACTTCCCTCGTCCTGGGCGCCTCCTTGGGCCGTCTCCAGGCAATCGCGGGCCGTCTTGGAGCGCCATTGGGAAAGCTCGGGAACCCTCCTGGGCCGTCTTGAGACCACCTGTGAGCTCTCGAAGCCCACTTGGGGCGGTCTGGTGGCCGTCCTGGGGCCATGATACGTTCGGCGGCGCGCCAGGGCGCGGACCCGCGGAGGGACCGCCAGCAGAGTACAGTCAACCCGCATAGGAAGGATGGGTACCCTTCCCGGGGGTACCCTTGCATCCTTGTCTCTTCGGCCCATCCTTAGCGACGTTCACTGGCCACCCTCGTTCGAAACACGTCAACTCGGCCCTCCAAGGCCCTTGCAGCCTCACCGCGCATCCTTCTGATACGGGCTGACTCCAGCGCGCCACAGATGGGATGCTCGAATCCAGGCGGTTCTCCGGAGGTAGTTTCACATCCAGTCGGGGGGGCGCCTTCGTCCATCGGTGCGGAATCCTTCGTGCCTTGCCACACGGGTATAGCCCCCTTGAGGGGAAGCAGATTTGCCCGTGGACGGGCTCTCTCTTTTTTTTGGGGGAAAAAAAGAAGTATAGCGCGCCACAGAGGAGACAGTCGATTTTGATCAGTCGGTGATGGTCACACGTGTCGGCACAGTGACCTCACGTGGCCCATAGCGCAAGCGGAAGCGGACGGATCTGAAGAGCAACGCCCTCCTCCGCTGGCCCCCCAAGGCATGCGAGCCTCATTCGCTCGGAAGTGCGACCTATAGCTTTGCAATATGGGGGGCATTTCCGAACCATGGTATGGTAGGGCCTCAAAATTGTAAAACAATAGCCTGGGGACGATTTTTTTGATTATTTTTGGGCATGTGGGGGGTGTGTTTTGAGTATTTCTCATTTTTCGCCCAAAATCCCCTTGTAGGGACACGCCCGACTTAACTCTAGGGGCATCCTGGAGCAACCTCTGCAAACACAACCCTCACTATGATTCAGTGCCTGCGCGGGGCGTGCTCTCCCAGCCCAGACGGCTTGCCGGTGGCTTGGTTTTTCGTTGCGAGGTTTTCTCTGGCACAGCTGGACAGTTCGGCTGGCAAGTACGAACATTGGACCGTCGCAGGACAGCTTGATATGCAGGATCGATCTGGTCGAATGGCACCTTCCTGTAAAACTGATGTCCTGTGTCGAAGTCGAAAGAGTCCATCCGGCTAGAAGCAGGGCGGAGCGATGCAGAAAGAGCGCGAGTCACCAAGGTGAGATCGATATCCGCGCCATTCGTGGGGACATTGATGGGACGCTGTGGGAATCGGGTGCTCCTGGGGGCTTCTGGGGGCAACGAGCCTCCTTGGGTTTGCACTGCCTGGTGCTCTTTCGGCCACTCCGAGGCCTCAGGGGGCCTAAGTCTTTCGTGCCCACCTTTCGTCTGGCAAGGGCCCTGGGTGAGTACTAGGTCATGTCGAGGCGCCAGGGGGCTGAGATCATATCACCCGGGCCTTTCACGGGGGGAGGGCAGCCGTCTTGGGACCCCGTGGACAGCAGGAAGTAGACAGGATCGGAGATGCAGGACCCTGGAGACAACACAGCAAATAGAACGCAAGACATGTCAGGGCAACGGCAGTCCAGCAACGACTTTACAGCCAGATGCGCTTAGAGGGTGCGGGTGGGTATGGCATGCAGTTCCATGTTGCACAGTGTGTACAGGCATGCGTACCTGGCGGTAAGGCCGAGTTCCATGTTGTCCATGGCGAGCCAGTTCGCTGAACCATCCACTGGTACCGCTGGCTGCGAGGGCGCCAGTGCCACCGACTCTTCCGCCGCAATCCTGCCCACGGGGCCGCCCCCATGTGCGCGACGATAGCCGTGCTCGGGGCGTCGCGGTCTGGGTCCGAGAAGCTGCCCTTCCCAAGGGGCGCGGGGGCGCGAGGGCACGGGCACTGCTCGCGGGGCGCGCTGCGCGGCGCGACCCAGGCCGACGTCGCCGCCTGCCCGCCCCCATCGCGCCGTCGCTGCCGCAGCCGCCCGCACCGTCGCCGCTGCCGCTGGCACGGGCGCGGCTTCTCGGTTGCCGCGCTCTGCCGCCTGAGGCGCCACGACGGTGCACCCATCGGCTCGTGACTGTGAGTTACTCGGGGATGCCGGGGTCGAGGTCGGCGGTCCCGTGGTGATGCTTGCTAGGGGTCGCATCGAGGAGGGTCTTGCCAGGCAGCCCGCAACACGTGTCCGGGGATCGGGCTTCTGTGTCGGGATGGTCAAGGAAGGGTACGGGAGTGGCATTAAGTCCGATGCAGATTGCTCCCCTTTGTTTGTGTGATACTGAATATATTTGGGAGTCGATGTTCAATGCCATGTCTCCTCGGTATGTCAATGCTACTCGCCGTTGCTGACTTCTACAGCTTAGAGCAAAGAGAAGACTCTCATGTCGAGTTGGGCATTGTTACACATGGTCAGTTCGAGCACACACCTATGCCATTCCTCTCCTGTCAAAAGGCGTCATGCCACTTTGTCTACGTCGTGGCTTTTGCGCGTGATGCTTCCCGTCTGGTGGATTTCATTTTGTTGACCTTGTCGCAGGTTGTCGTGTTCCAAGATAGTGCAGACGGCCAGCAGATTTTCAGGCAGGCTTCTCGCTCTTGATATGTTGATGTGTTTGTTGCTCCAGTCGCGATCTCTCGCTGAATGTCTTCTCAAATGGACTGGGCATCACCATGTATTGCTCTAGCGGGTCGGGATCCTTCGCTCAGATCCCTCTCAGATCGTGATGTTCCGCTTCCTCCCTCTGGTGCAGGCCGAAAGCGTTGTTTTTTTCCAGGTTTGCCCGGGCATCGAAGCAGCCGTTGTTCTTCGCGACTCGATATTCAGAATCGTCATTCTCGTCGTTCTCCTCTTCCTTCTCCTCCTCGCTTTCCTCGTCCTCCTCATCCTCCTCCCCTTCCTCCTCCCCTTCTTCCTCCTCCTCCTCCTCCTCCTCCTCCTCCTCCTCCTCCTCCCCTGTAACCCATCGTCGTCGTCGTCGTCTTCCTCCACCTCCTCCTTTCGGTGGCGCGCCTGGGGGGAAGCGAGAGGGGGCAGGCGTTCTCAGAAGGCGGCGGGGTTTCTCAGAAACCTTCTGACCTTCTGGGAAACCGTCTTTGTCTCCGGAAAAGCTAAGAGCACTTTTCAGAAGGCCCGAGGACCTCTGAGCCTTCTGGAAAAGGCCCGCCCCCTCAGCAGTCCCGCAGCCCCCCCCTGGGTTCGCCGCTGATAACCATCGTCGTCGTCCAGTAACTCGTCGTCGTCGTCGTCGTCGTCCTGCTCCTCCTCCTCCTCTTCGTCCTCCCCGTCCTCGTCCTCCATCCGTAGCCAGTTTGGCTCAAGACGTCCACTTCCGTGGAGGTGAGGTGGAACCGTTGATTCGTGGCGGCCACACTTCGGTTCTTGGCGAGCTCTTGATGGAGCAAGACCATCCCCCCATCTTGACAGACGGGGTGGTGGGTGAACTGCGGCATTTCCAGTTCTTGCTGCCGTATTTGCAGCCAGTCACATGCCTGATGCTCTCGCCAAACGCAAGAAGAAGGCGGCCAAGGCCAACAATGGTGCGGCTGGTATCTCTGGTCCACGTGATCGATTCGACGATCGCACGATCGCTCCACGTTTGGGCGATCCGCTTCCGATGAGGATGACGACAGCATGGGTCCAATCTCCTGGGGCCTGGGACCCGTACGTCCCAGGTCTCATTGACGAACGGCTCTCAAACAAGTTCTGGGAGTTCAAAGACGTGCTGGGCGAGATTATGGTAGGTCATGCCAAAACAGCTTCGGACAGCGCGATGACCGCAGCGCTGGCCGCGATCAAGGCGTTGGGAGCTGCCTTCCCAAAGTCCCCAGATTCATGCAGGAAGCGCGTGGAGGAGTCGATCCGGCCTGGCATGGACTCCTTCGGGAGACGCTTCCAGGCACAGATCGACTACATCGCCTCACGGGGTGGTGTTTTTGGATAACAAGACCGCTGACATGGCCAAGGTACCGCCCATTCCGCGCATGGATCCTTCCACATTCGAACATGACGTTGACGGTACAAGTCTCGAGATGGTGACCCCTGTGGGTACGCAAGACATCGATGGTTTCATTCGGCGGAGCGCGGCTCAAGACAGCTGACATCACAGTGGGCTTCGCTGTGGGGGGCGAGCGGATGGACAAGACCAGCACGGTGCAGTTCACTGGTTCGTGCGGTGTAGGCATTGGCAGCCGTTCGTCTCCCTCGGAAATGGCAGCGGGTTCGCTCGTAGTCCCGGCAGCTCCCTGGGGTTCTACACATTTTCGTCTCGTTTCCGGCAATAGCAGCTTCAAATGCTAGACGCTTCGCGTATCCCCACCAGCCCGTCCAGAAACGACGCTCAGGCGAGTAGAGGGTCGTCTTGAGGGGCTTTTCGGCGTCTTGGGTGCCTCTGGGGGGCCTCTGTGGGCCGTTCGGGATCCTCTTTCGGGCCTCCTGGGGGCCTCTTGGAGCCTCTTGGGGCCATCTTGGGGCCTTTGGGGGCCTCCTGGGCGCTTCTTGGGGCCATCTTTGCCCCTTGGGTGCCTCTGGGGGGTCTCTTGGGGCCTCTTGGGGGTCTCTTGGGGGCCTCCTGGGGGCCTCTTGGGGGGCCTCTTGGGGCCATCTTGGGGCCATCCTGCGGCCTTTTGGAGGACATCGGTCAAGGAAGTAGGGTTCCTTAATAAGAGCCCCCCCCCCAGGAACTCCAAAAATCGTCTCCTGTACCGCTCTGGGACCGCTCTTGGAGCGCTCTTCGGCGCTCTTGGCGCCGTCATGGGGCTTTTTTGGGCCCTTCTTGGAGCTATCTTGAGCCATCTTGGAGCCATCTTGGCGCCTCGGATGTGCATCGCAAGCGAAAAAGTGATAGCACCAAAAAAATTGATTGTCCCTAGGGTTTTGAAGCATTTTGGCCTCTTGGATGCATCCTAATGATGCTCTTGTGGGCACTTGGAACCGTCTTGGAGAGTTCTTGGAACGTCTTGGAACATCATGGGGACCATCTTGAGGCATCTTGCGCTATCTTGAGCCATCTTGGAGGGTATCTTGGGCTCCCTGAGATCCTCTTGGAGCCGTCTTGGGCCATATTGGGCGCTCCAACGCGCCGCGGAACCCCCTGTCCAGGTCAGTGGGGAGGGGGTAGGGGGAGGGGTAAACCCCTCCCCGAAGGGGAAGAAGGAGGGGTGGAAGAGGAAACGCTCTAAACCACCGACGCCCAGAGGGCTGGTGGGATTCAGGGTGGGGACTATCGGCAAGCTGATCACGAAATTTCTTCGAGAGCGCCGCATGTAGGGGGCAAACGAACCTACCTCGCTTTTGACCACCCTCGCTTCCAAGAGATACCAAGCGATGCCAAACTACGGCATGTACTGGTCAGGCCGCTTGACGAGGAGGCGTATGGTATGACTTGGTTTTGCCTGGAAGCGAAAGCGGGGTAGGTAATTCACGCTCTGAGCATGACCCACAAGTTCTTCGTCGACAGGCAGAATTGGTGGATCTCTGAGTACGAGGGCCAAATTTTTCGCGTTGGGTTCCAGCCTGGATGAGATCCAACCCAATGCTATTGGCATGAAGCAGGACTGGTGCAGCGCAGTTGGCTAGAGAGTGTGTTTCTCCAGACCTCCAGGCAAGTCAACGACCCGACGGCAGAACCGGAGTGTCTCAACTTCTAAGATCGGCGGTTCTTCCACATGGTTGAAGTGGAGCCGCCGCCCAAAGTTGGAACGATAGCTCTCCGTAGCCTGTTTGGCTCAAGTAATACATCTCTCGAGCCAGCTGGGCAGGAACAGCAGCTCAGACCGCTGCTCCTCAGGGTGCCTGCCCCAGGTCAGCAGTCAGCTGCATGTCATTAACCTTATTCTCTTCTCCCTCTCCGCTCCTGCACCGCAGCCATGGAGGGCCAGGGTCGCGCTCGCAAGGCCGCGAGCCCTAGTTGTGCTCGCTCTGACTCTCGCTCGGGTTTCCGCAGCAGCCGCGGCGCCTCGGCGAGCCGCGCGCGTTCCGATCCGCGACCGAAGAGACAGACCTTCACATGTGATGACAAGCTCGATCAGTTGCTCTCGTCCTGCCAGGGCTTCGGGCGACATTTCGCGGCTTCCAGCTATGGCAACGACGTCTCTCTCGTTAAAAATCAAGCGCGGGCAGCCCAGCAGCGCTGCGACATGCTCGCGACCCAGATTGGCAGCCTCGCGTGTGCGACTGAGAAGAAGTTCGCGGTCCTCGGGAGCCAGGCGTCGGAGGCTCGGACGGACCTCGAGGATCGCTTCGAGAATTTCAAGAATGACGTCCAGGCCCACATCAACTACGCTGAGCCTGGAAACGCGACGCTGACGATACTGACAACCCCAACCAAGCGAAGCATAGGATTCAGGCGATCGAGGAGCAGCTGAAAGCGACGTCCGTTCCACCTTCCTCAATTGCCGCTCGGTCGACGCTGTCCTCTCGCGCGAAGAAGGCGCGGGGCAACGCGCGCAGGCTCATCGCGCCTGGCCCCCCGCCCAGGACGCCCAGGTCGACGCCGCGCAGCGTTGGTGCCCATCCGCCAGAAGTTCGCCCCGCTCGACCGCCATAATCGCACCGTGACCATGGCCCTCGACATGGCCAAGAAGATCTCCCTCGGGCTTGCTGCCCCCGCTGACGCATCCAACTTTGCGACGAATGCCATGGCGCGCGGCCCGTGTGCATTTGCGGACCCGCTCGTGCCATCTACCCCCTGTAGATTGCGCGTCGGGCGAGACCGGGATGTCACTGGCCGCCAGCTCTTCTCCTCCAAGGAGCGGGCCCGCTCGCGCCCCACTCGCGTCTTTCAGGATCGGCGACTCCCCGTTTCGATCAACGGCCTTGGTGGATTTGCGCACGCGCTGACAGCCCCCGAAGACCTGAGGGCCACATCCAGCAGATGAGGGAGGCTGCCGCGGTTCAGATCCGACGGCCCTCTGGGCGATGATCCAGATCGAGGTGGGACGCCGCTGCGCCCTGGCTCCAGCAGCGACGATGGCCCTTACGCCCCCCGCCTCTAATTCTCTTTCCGCCCTCCCCTGCGAGTTACTATCTGTCTGCGCGCGGAACTCCCGCGGCCTTTTTAGCTCTGTTTGGAATGCTAGTTGGCGAGCCAGCGTTCGCCCCCCCCCCCCCCCGCCCCCCCTTCCTCAAACCCGCCGGGCGATCCCAGATAGCACGTCGCCAGAAAACGCATCGGCGAGCCCCGTCGCGAGCTGAACTCTTCCAAACAAGGCTTCCAGATTGGGCACCCCCTCTTCTGTGACAGTCAGCGCGAAGGTGGTGGAACTACGGCTAGTGGTCCTGATATTGTGCGCCTCCTTCCCATCATCCAACGCGTTGAATGATGCCTGGGCGCGTTCTCCTCGCTCGTCTCATCGGCCCCATCAGGCTTCCTCTCGGCATTCGATCTCCATCTCCCCGACCCCAGCGGCGCTCCTTCCATCCGCCCGCGCGCTCTGAGTGTGGCCGAGCGAGCTTCCCAAGCGAACGCTGGCAGCCATCGCATCCTTCTCGGTAACTACAAATTCTTTCTTGAGGACGAAGGGCGCGTGCGAGGGGGCGGCTCGGGGCGGTCTCCCGGGGACAGAGCTCGCGCTCGTCTTCC